TAACAAAGACAGGGAGAGCGGGAAGATTGAAGAATTGCAAAGCACATGTTTGAAGCAAAGTACACCGTAACACCTGACCTTTTCATCCATTCAAAATCATACACTTAAAGCACAAGAACTCACATTTTCAACATCACCCCCCGTGTGGACAGGCAGGCAGGACAACCAAGTCATGCTTACTAACGTTTTTTTTAGGCACGAGCCCGAGAAATGGTGTATTGTGGGCCGGGCTAGGACCGGGACCGGACCGGGCCCGCAGTCTTAACGGGCTAAACGGTCCCGGCGGACCGATCCTGGTGGGCCGGTCCCTGGTAGTGTAGAAAGCCCGGGGCGGGCCGGTTCCTTGCGTCAAGCCCACGAGACCGGGACCGCTAAGCCCGGGACCGGCAGGCGGTCCTGGGCCGGTTCAACCGGGCCTAACGGGCTCCAACGGCTCTTTTTTTTTAAAAAAAAAAAATTTTTTTTTAAAAAGGCCAACGGTCAGATTTTAAAATCTAGCCGTTGGCCTTTAATTTTCAACCGTTTGGAACTTTAAAAAATAGCCATTTGGCCCCCAAACTTTATTTTAACCCCAAACTTTATATAAATATACTTTTTCCCAATTCTCAACTATAAATACCCCCTCATTCTTTCATTTTTACCAATTCATCAATCTATCTCAATCTCTCTCAATCTCTCTCAATCTATATCTAATTTCTCTTCTATAATTGCTTATTTTATTATTGCAATTTCGTGAAAAATTGTGAAGTTGGTGAATTGAAGTATTCAAGTCTTCAAGTCTTCAAGTCTTCAACGATTTTCAATTTTCAAGAAGTTGTTCGGCAATTCGGTAAACTCGTTCCAACTCTTAAGTTTTAAGAATATATTTTTGTGTGTTTAGTTTGCATAATTGTAATTAATATGGCATTTTCTTTGAAAAAAATGTTTGGTGGTAAGGGAAAAGCTAAAATTGGTGAAAGTAGTCTCCAACCTACTACCCTTCCCCCGGCTCCCCGACCCAGACCTGTTACCCGTCCTGCTGCTCCTATTATTCTTGATAGTGATAACCCTTGTTTTCAATTTTCCGATAGTGAATTTTGCCATAATGTTGCACCAGGTGAACAATTAAATGAAGAAGTTATGAATGCTCTTTATCCTAATCAAACTATCTTAGAAAATGATGAGAAAAATGAGGATGTAGATGAAACCCAACCGGATTTAGATGATTCACCTACTAGTCCTGTTAATAACCCAACTGATGCCCCGTCCGACCCACCTGTAGAAACCCCTACTTTTAATAGACAACCTTCTAAACGCCTAGAAACATCAATAGTTTGGAATTTTTTTACTCAAGTAAGAGAACAAAATAAGGCTAAGTGTAAAACTTGCTGGCGCATAAATATACTGGAGACCGTAGCGGTACGGGTAGTTTGGCTAGGCACATACAAACACACCCTAGAGATAAAGTTAAATATTTACAAATGAAAGCGCAGCAAGAGGGGACAAGTGTAGATACTGCGGTTAACCCTAGTACAGGTTCAAATCTAGTTCAACCAGGAATTAACACTGTGACCGGTGGTATTTTATATTACGATCCTAATAAAGAACGTGAAGAATTAGCAAAGAAGGTTACCGTTATGTGCTTACCATATACTTTTCCTTCTAACCCTAATTTTGTGCATTATATTAGAAAAGTTTTTAATCCTACTTATAAAGGTTGGCCTCGCGCAACAGTTAAGAGCGATATTTATAAATATAAACATGAATATGAACAATATTTGCGGTATTTATTTACTCATATAACTAATCGGATTTCTATTACTACTGATATTGGTAGAAGTAATAATGACTGTGATAATCTAACTGTTACAAGTCATTGGATAGACGAGGAGTGGATAATGCAAAAACGCATTATTGCGTATAGAATAATTAATTCACGTCACACAGGTAAGTTTATTGCTAACACTGTTGCAGATATTTGTAGATATTTTTGCATTAGAGATAAAATAATGGCAATTTCTATGGATAATGCTTCTAGTAACACTAGTGCTATAGGCATACTTACAACAACACTAAATCCTGTATTTAGTAATTGTTTCCATGTGAGATGTATTTGTCACATTTACCATTTAATCGTCGGTGATGGTATGAGAATTTTAAATTTATAAATTGAAAAGGTTAGAATGGCTCTTAATTGGCTATTTTATTCAAACCGTAGAAGTAGACTTAGAGAGTATTTTAAAAAATGTGATGAATTTGGCCTTAGAGAAAGAAAGGTTCCTAAACCTTGTCCAACTAGATGGAATTATATGTACGAAAGTTTAGTAGTTGCATATGAATATAGAAACCCAATTAATGCAACGTTTAATGCTCGTGTTGGTGGTGAGGATGATGATGAAATCCTTACAAATCAAGATTGGACGAATGTCAAAATTCTTATAGATTTTTTAGAACATTTTCAAATTGCTACAAATGCATTTTCTGGACAATATTATCCTACTATTTCAAATTGTTTAGTTTATATTGCAGCACTATGTGATTTGTTTGTTGAATTTTCGGAGGGTGGGGAAATTTATAAACTTGCTATAAATGCAATGAAAGAAAAGTTTAAAAAATATTTTTTCCCTATCCCCCCTATTTATGGTGTTGCTGCAATGTTAAATCCTACAATGAAATTAGGAGGTCCTCACTTTTGGTACTCAAATATTTATAAGGCTTTAGATCTTTCAGTT